TCTGCTCTTCTCATCATCATATGTCGCCATTGTACTGGAAGGAATTGCATCGTACTGTTGGCAAATATTCTCTACTCTATAATTCTGGTTACCGCATTCTATCACCTTAGATACCTTATATATTTTTTCTAGTACAATTGTAAATCTAAAATCTTGAGAAATAATAAAGAGATAAAACGGAAAACCGTCTGTTTATATCTGAAAATCATGTGATATTCTCAACAGAATTCCGTATACAAAAGAGGTGAACAAATTTTGTGCCAGTTTTTTGATACTCGTTCATAGTTCTGTTTTGTTGCTTCTCATAAAAACTCCACAAATAATTAAGAGCCATAAAATTCATTTAACATCAAAATATCATACATACCATAACAATTGATTTCCTTACTTATGCATCACTTTATTTTAACGTATTATAACTAACAAAGAAATAAGTACATTTATTCATTCATTTCAAGCAGATAGTTTGCACAAATATGCTTACATTATATTTTTCAAACTACGCGTTATATTGAGATTACTATATGAAAGCAAGTATTAATCTTCTGAATTTCCTGCTCTGTTAATTATCTATTTTCAAACAATGCGTTATATTGCAAAAGCATGTATTAATCTTTTGAATTTGTTCTGTTATTACATATATGTTTATAAGGCATGTGCAACCTACGGCATACATCCTGCTTTTATCCTCTTATTTACATATTATGTGGCTTTAAAACTTATTTATCCAGCTCTTGTCCTGGAAGAAAGTTGCACATGCCTGATATATACGAAGAACAAAAACAAACAGTTGAATAGATTGATGAATAAATGCTTCATTTAATTATAGCCACAATATGGTCATATTTATACATCACTTGCAACATTAGTCTTTCTTATCAAAAGGCAGTGATAATTGACAAAAAAAATGTTTACCGTTTCTTTTCGATTTAGTCATATGAATTTGGATTTGTTAATTGCAGAAAATAAGAGATTTGAATAAATCAAACGAGAAAATGATAGAAAAAATAAAGAAGCACAGCAAATATTGAAACTGTACTGTTTCCAAATAAGAAAGACAATTAGGAATATTAGTGTTAAAATTGGTGTTTGTAAAAAGAAAATAGCATAAAAATTGAACGTACCCTTCACACAACACAATCAACTTCACGTAATCCGCAGTGTCTCATCAGATTGTCACGTTTCTTTACTATTTCAAACTCTCTCAAAAAATTACTTCCATATAGCCAGAATATACATCTACAGGATGAATCTTTAGACGTGTATTGCCATCAAGCTAAATAAATCCTCTGGCGCAAACGACCGCCTATTTTAAAGGATTATTGAAGAAACTTCTTTTCACGACAATTAGTCATCCAATAGGCCGCTTGTGTCTCCTAATCCGATTTCATAAACTGGACAAAGTGACGAAGACTGCCGAATTGCAGATAAATCCTTGTGTAAACAGACTTGCAATTCGAGTGGAATTAGCGGCAGGGGCAGATAATATTCCATTATCATACGTTTATTATAATTGTACATTGTCATAGAAAATATGTTTTTAGACAATAACCGGAAAATATGATTTAAAATAAGCATGCAATTATTATTTTTGTTTGTAAACAAAGTTTTGTTGCAACTGCATTTGTATTGTACTTCATTCAGCTTTGTATACATTCATGCGATAAGACGCACCTTTGCAATAAAAAATGCATATTTTATTTTTTTTTTAGTTTCGTACTTTAATCTATTTAGAATTACAAAATGATGGTGGATAATAAAAATATTGCTTGTCGTATTACAGATGAAGCTTTTATTTTTTGAGTACACTGCCTGATATATGTCATCAAATACATATCTTTTTATTTATTAAATTAAAGGTCTAAATAAGTATTACTGAATTTCATATTAATTGCTGATACAATAATTTCCATATGATATTTTTTCCCTAAATTTGGATACAGTACTGAAAATTATATGGTGCTGACATAAAAATCTGCAGCAAAAATCACGCGCATATAGGAAATCTACATGGATACGTTTCAGTGGAATAAAAATTGAACTTTGAGTTGCAAATCTTATGTTCTGTCAATCGTTTTTTGTCTTATCCTTTCCATGTCATAGGTTTCTACTTAGGAAGTGTTATTATTTTTTATAAATATATTAGTCAAAGATTGTATATTTTTTTTTACCTTCCTGGCTTATTTTATGTACGTTTGACCGAATTTTAACAGCGTTACTTTTTTTTAACTTCACTCTAATAGGACTTCATGATTTAAGTGTTTATTTTTCTAATGCATTTTGGATTATTTGCTTTTATTGATATTCCAACTTTTACCATTTATCATATAATAATTTATGTCTATGGTTATTTGGAAAATGTGTTTACAATTCTTTACATTGTTACTGTTAAACATCGCCTTTAAATGACAAATTGCAGCCATTATTGTGCTGATGTTCGGTTAAATCCTGATGAATACTTGCTACTTTTTAAAGAATAGGAGGCTGTAAGTGTGAAACAGCTTTCAAATTTAAAAAATGACTTAGAATTGATAACATGATATTAGCTGATATACAGAGAAAAATACGGTTTGCTGTGTGAACAAATTTACTGGGATACGATAGAACTGTTAACGCGTAAACATTCCAAAACATTAGAGTGTTTTGCAAACGTTTGTACAAGGCAAACGGTGTGTATTTATTTCCTATAATTGTCGATTGTTTAAGATATAAATTAAATTTAAAATACCTACCAAAAGGATTTTTCTTTTGTTTTTCTAATCCGGAAACAAAACACTGTACTCAGCCAGTCAATACTTCCATTGTTTCTATAATGCGGTCGTCACAAATTTGTACGCAACATGCAAGCTAAAGTCGAGCTCATAGGTTACAATTTTTATTAAGAAAATGTTACTGATGATTAATATACTCATATTCTATGTGAAGAAACTAATTAGGGGAGGGGTTGGTTTTTTATTGGGGAAGTGTTTGTTTTGGGGTTTTATTGTTGTTTTGTTTGGGGGGTTTTGTCTCGTTTCTTTATTGTGTTTTTTATTGCTTTGATTTTCAACACTTAATTCATAGACTTTCAAATTGTAAGTTGCGTATCCATGCATGCGACTGTTTGGCATCTTGAAACTTGGCCATTTCTAAATAAGTCATCTTAATGCGGTAATAAAAGAGCAGAACTGATAAGTAGATGCAAATTATTTTAGATATGGCTGACTTGTTATCATTCTTACGTATCCTGACAATCTAAACTGAAAAAAATCTGGCCTCGATGTCTACAACATTGACATATGGCAATGTAAAAAAATGGTAAATAAGCGTATTGTGAATGTATCTTTGTGCCTCCCTCCCCCTCCTCCAAAAAAAACAAATTGAGTGAAAAACATGTTCTGATTTTTTTAGTTTTTGTCAGATATTTATAAACGTTTTCTCGATTTTGCGCTGACAACCATATCGTCCTCTTTACACAATTCCAGGAACTCGTTAGTGTTCAAGCCTCACATAATCTCCATGCTGCCGTAAAATCTGGATCAAAATACTAAGTCTAAACACGCGGCCTGCATAATAACATTCTTGATGGATAAATTAACGGCAACATGACCGAACATCTTCGAATATAAGCTAGGGTGTAACCAGATCTTTTACTTGAATAAATGCAGAAAGAAAACAGAATTCTAGTCACTAATAAGTATATACAGTTTCAGTAGATGCGCAAAATGAAACAAAATATCCTATCTATGAAGCCAAAGAAGCCAAATCATAACTTCAAAGGAGACGAAAAGAAATTAAGTTATAAGGTGTATTGCAAGTATCATAAAATTAAATAATATGTTCTTAAAACTATGCACGGAATGAAATGTCAAATGTTGGAGAAAGCTATGTATATTTAATTCAGAATCGTCATACAAACCAGTCACTGAAAGCTTAGCTTGTCTGAAGCCCATGATGCGGTAATGTTTATGTACCTGAGGGGATCTTCTTAACTGGTTTCATAATATAGCGGAAACTTAATAAAAACTGTATTATTATTATTCAATTTATAATCAAAGTAACACTCTTTTTCAACTCTACTGGTTAATTCACAATGCTATTTCTCTGGAAAGAAGAGAGGATTATTGATAGAGGAGTGAGAAAACTTTTTATAATGATATTATTTCTACGCAATAGTTGTTTATGATAATGGCAATATAATTGGCTTTTTCCGAGTAGCACTGCCTGAACTAGGCCGGTATATCAGACCCTCACCCGTGATAATATTGATTTGGGAGGGACGGATATCACCTATTCATTAAGCTGCGATTATTTGCAGCAAATTGTGGCTGCACTCATCGGTGTACATTTATATATTTACCGTTATTTCTCATGGCCGTGGAGCTGCTGGCAGCTAAAGGGTTTTTTGGTGACAAACACGTCATATTTCCCGGAGCAAATCCCATGTTTAGTGACTTGTAAATCTACTTGGAATAATACAACCATATGCCCATAGGTTATTTAGAATTTCGCGCTATATATGGCTGTTGCCAATTACCAGTATGTATGATTTGCATGCAGCAAAATGGCACATTTTAAGGAACAGCTGTCATCATACACACCTATCAGTATCAACACAGATTTGGAGGGCTGATTGATCGGACTAAACCTGTACCACCACGTTGATATGGTCTGAACAAAAGACCAGGTCCATATTGCGTCGGTCCAAGCCCTGGATCGTTGTTTCAAATATTAATATTTCCTTGTGTTCCGTTGGCGGCATGACATCACATCCTGTTCAAGAAACTTAATTTCGTTCAGAGTTGGAAGAAAATCTCCTTGTGTGCGCGTGCGCCTCCATAGTTGTTGCTTAGCATATATTACTGCGCAGTCTTCGGGTTTCATTCGTAAACTGAACGATGTTCAAAATGTTCAATAGAACATTGAGATATAATTTGTTTTGTTTCAGGTGTGCTATTCCTACAACACAAAGAATGATTAGCATGCTTGTTATTGTCGTCATGTAAGTACTTTACATGACACAGCTCATGTGACCTATTGGTTAGAGCGTCCGCCTTGGATGCGTGAGGTCGTGGGTTCGATCCCCGGTCAAGTCATACAAAAGACTTACAAAAATGGTACTAACAGCTTCCTCGCTTAGCGCTCAGCATTAAGAGGTTAGTATTAGGACTGGTCTACCTAATGTCAGGATAATGTGACTGGGTGGGACTGCATCAGTGCTAGACATCACTATAAACTGCCACACTGTAGACATCGTAGCGATATGACTGAAAAAAATGTTAAATCTACGTTAAAAATCATAATATCATCACATCACATACTTTACACGATTCGATAAAAATTTTATTCTAATTAAATTTAAGTACGAGGAGTATTAAGAAAGTTCTGAATATGTGTATGATGTACAACAAGAGTTCTTTATTAGTTAACAGCATGCCAGTGCATCCTTCCAAAGTTCTTCCCATCCACCTCTACATATTTTTTCAGCATGATAATCCAATCATTACATTGCCATTTTGAATTCAATTATTGCTATGTTGTTCATACCAATGCATAACATGGCGGGTTTAAAATCGTTTGACTCTCAGCTAATCTTTGATAACAAGATTAAGCAAAAACTTACTTCGATTTCAATCTTAACTGTATGTAGGATGTAGAAATGTTCGGATGCTGTGATCCTCAATGAAGCATGCCACCTTGGCGAATTTAATTGCCGCTGCTTTGACCTTGAGTACATGGATAATTGCCGAGTAACACTTTGCCGATTTTAACCCTAGTCTGTTTTTATCAGTCTAATACGGCTCAATCTTGCACAAAATTCTGAGCATCAATGATTCAATGTATGAAAAAGCTGATGAAATAATGCAATTGATAATAGAAATAGTGTCCACTGTGTCTCGAACATCTTCATCAATTGATCCCTTTACAAACAGCCACGTCCTGCTAGTAACAGTCCCCTACAAAAGTCTGCCAGAATGTGGGTCATCCTCCATGGATTTGCGACCATTTCTAAAACTACAAAATCACTTCAAAAATCAAGGATATAACATAGAATCGCATTCTTCCTAATCAGTTTTGATATCCGTTAGACAGTACCATAAGAGTGTCCGGATTTTCAAGTATGATCTTTGCAGAAAAGTAGGATTATTTATCCTTATCCAACATTTTCACGTCACTTTCATCGACCTTTGTATAGTCACAAGCATGTGTCCAGCATGTTGCATGTTTAGCTGCAGATCATATTAATATAATGCTATTTTGTCTATCAATCGGCATTAAATTTATTGACATGTTCAAAGAAACGAAAAAGGTCTAAAAAAAATATTCAAAACATTCAAATATAATCTTTGTAATCTGAGTTTTGCTGATGATAGCAGCTGGAACTAAAAAGTAAAAAGCAATCAAACCCCGAAAATAAAAAACGTAAGCAATTAAAAAGTTTATTATTATGTTTTAGTAGCATAATGTCAATCATAGTATAACAGAGTTATCATATTTGCAAATTCAATTAATTAAGCATATTCGTGACATTTAATTTTCTACGCATTGCTTATACCCATTTTGTTACTACAAGATATTTGCATTGTTCGCTTCTCGTGGGTCGGTGGTTCTTTCCGGTGATTTCCCGGTTTCCTCCTCCACCATTAATACTGGCCGCCATGAATAGCCTATAGTGTGCTGAAAAATGGCGTTAAGCCCAACAACAACAACAACAACAACAACAACAACAGCATTGTTCGCAGAATTCTAAGGGAAGTTTGTGGATTTACTATGCAAGTTGCAGCACAATTTTGAGATGTTGTACACCCGTAGTTTGCTCAAAATTATCAACGTATTCTGAAAACAATTTGTGCTGAAATGGAACAATCCATATTTGAATACAATTGTCCAATATATACACTTTATAAACTAATAATTTGCTTAAATAAGGAAAAGATACATTTTATTTTCTGTCTTAAGTTCCAAGATATACGGTTGTACTTACATCAGTCAAGAGCGAGTACATCGGATGTTAACTATAAAGATAAAAAGTATGAAATATTATGAAAAAGAACAATTGCATCCATTGGAAGTATTTCTTTACTTTGTCGACCTTTTGTAATGTTTATATGCTATTTATCTGTCGTCTTTTTCCTATTTCCTGTGGATTTATTCCACTACTAAATTTTACATAGAAATGTTCAGAGTCATTCAATCTTCTCATAGTCATTATCAAACTTGTACTTGTCCTTCAAATGGTACAAAAAGTTAATTTATAATAAATAAAAAAAATATAAAAAGGACATCACAACACTAACAAAAGTGAAAATTACATCAAAATCATAATTAACTTTGGAGATATTTAAGTTTTTACTTTGGTCCTCTATTTAATATTCAAGCGTTTTGATGTAATAGAAGATATGAGCGATTCTGAAAGTAGTACAATAATGTATTATAATAACAAAATTAAAGGTAACTTTGTTTTAATTTTCATAAAACTGTTTGGAAGATGATCTTATACATTGAAACAGTTATTTGAATTATTTTCGCAGTACACAGCATTAAAATTCAATTGATTTAAATACAATTAAAGTTTCTCCAGCTCTCAATTTGTTTAATTGGTGTGGTCCCTCTCAGATTAACATCATATGAGGGACCAAAAGTTAAAGTTTTTTATGTGTTCATGGCTTTCCCCAATATATCCTTTATTGTATCGGTTTGAATAAATTTTCATTTTATTATTTTTTGTTCTAGGGTTTATACATCTCCCTAACTGGTGTTTACATGCTTTTGGACCCTTGCGGGACTTTGAGTGAACTTACAAAGTGATCCGTGTCAAGGACCAGTATTGTCCGATGTTTGCTAATTGTTTTATGCTATATTGTTTTGTATATTATCTTGCTTTTTATATGGACCAGCTGGTATAATTCGATTTTGTTTTTAAAGTGTTGTTATTCAGTTATACACAATTTAAGTTTTGTAGCAGCAAGCAGTTTATTGTAAGTAAAAGAGAAGCAATTATATGTAATGTTTGATGCTAAATTTAGTAAGGAAATTGCTTGACACACGTGTTCGAATTAGTTATAAGTTATTCTCTTTACAAGTTGCTGTTCAAATCTAGTGAGCGTTTTTCAAACTTGGTTAAAGAGTTTCAGTTATTTGATAACAAATATAAAAATTATGAAATTAAATATCAAGTAATATTGAAATCATTTGGTGAATGACAAGTCGGAAATTGCTTAACGCACAAGTTCAAATTATTGTCTTCGTTATATATTATGCTAAATTCAAAGGCCCTAACAAATTGCTTGATACATAAGTTCGAATTAGTTATAAATTATTCTCTTTACAAGTTACTGTTAAAATCGTGTCGTAGTTCTAGTGAGCATAGTGTGCATTTGTCATGCTTGGCTGAAAAAGTTCCAGTTAATAGATAACAAATGTAAATTCAGAATTAAATATCAAGTTATATTGAAATCGTTTTGTAAATGAAATATTAACGCACAAATTCTAATTATTGTCTTGGTTATATGTTATTCTAATCAAATATAAATTCAAAGATCTTTACAAGTTGCTGTTGAAATCATTTCGTAAATCCATAAAAACACTAGAATTGTTTAGTACATGGGTTAAAGCACGTGTAGCACTTATGCTATGCATCATCGTGCTTGTAAGCACTTTTTCTGTTCTCGTGCTGCAATATATCTAATTAGTTATATGTAGACATTCATTTGAATTCACTGACCATTTATCCAATTATTGGTGTGGTCATCAGAGAGACCCCCTATATCTAAAGTTAAAGGGTTGATTTGTCTTTGTATTTTATCAAAGTGTATGTGCTTTGTGTTGTTTTCTTTTTAAACAAAAGTTTGATTTTATGATTTTGATATAGGGCTTGTACACCATTCAAATTCGTTTTGTTCCGATATATTTCAAGTTATTGATTAATTTATTTATAATTCTCTACATCAGATTGTCTTTTATTACAGAGTAGAAATTTTAGATTTTAGCAAATACCATAGCATACGTTGCTCAGGTAATTCCAAGTCCATTAGTCTATATGGCCCAGTTGCACAACCTGCTCTCTCAACCGTAAGATTAACGCGTGCTGCACAATTTCCTCCAATTAAAGAATATTTACAATTATGTTATTTCAGTTAATGTACATTTAGGAGTCAGTGAAATGTGTATAAGATTTATAATTCTAAATATCTATACATTTTAGTAAGTTCTGATTATATATAATTATCATAGGTTAAATCAATATTTAAGATAGTTCATAGTATAGTAAGCAGTCGAAATAGCCTATTAGTATGTGATGGTCAATTAAATGTTCTTTAATATCTTTTTGAATATTCTTCGTTTTGTAACAAGTTTATCAAAATATTTCTGATTCCATGATACCTTCAATTTATAAACAAAATTTCATGACTTTGTCCAATTTCATAATAAATCTCTTTCCAATGTACTCAGTAGTTTAAAATGTTAATCATTCGTTCATTACCGTTCGGTCAGTTATCGTTCATGTTCTCATTCCTTTTTTTAAAATATTCCATATCATAGTCATTTTCCATTATGTTCCGTTTCTTTATTCCTTTGATTCTTTTCCTCTTCTTTCCATCCGATGCAACATTTCTTCATGCTAACAAGGCAAACCATCAAGACAGTCCTTCTAATAGTCGTGTGGCTATCCGTCTTATTTATTCCACATCTTCATAGTGGCCCTTCTCATGGCAATCCTCTACTACGCGTTTTTCATACTTGGTTAAAGAGTTTCAGAGTGGGCGAGTTGTCTAAAGCGCTGTCCGTTACGGATCACTGCCATCTCACCTCTGTCTGCGTGTGTTCGAATCTAGGATTCAGCGAATGTGGATATGTGAGAAACCTTGCCAGTAGCTTCTCGTGGGTCGGTGGTTCTTTCCGGTGATTTCCCGGTTTCTTCCTCCACCATTAATACTGGCCGCCATGAATAGCCTATCGTGTGCTGAAAAATGGCGTTAAGCCCAACAACAACAACAGTTATTTGATAACAAATGTAAATGTAAATTCAGAATTAAATATCAAATCGAGATTGCATCGGCTTTAGTAACAAGAAACTCTCACCAGATAATTTA